TATGACTATTTGTGAAAATATGCTGTAGGGATTCTAACATTTTTGGGGGATTAGCATTATTTGGTGACACGAATAAGTAATATAACACATATATAGGCCTCACCCCTTACAACAGATACTTGAGTCAATAAACACCATGGTCCAGTGTTTTCAATATTGTATTTATTCTTGTAGTATGGAAGCACGAAACTGCCAATGTGGAGTCAACATTTCCGACTGGCAAATTCATCCAAACTCATTTAGATCCGTTTGAAAGTACTTGCGAGTACGTTCTCGAGGCGAAATGTTCAAAACTCATCGGAATATTGTCATGCTTTTGGACAAAGGGGACGGAAATATGTAACGTAAGAATATCAAGTGCATTTGTGCTCGTGACTTTGGAACTTGTCCTCTTTTGAAGTATCAAAGCCATCGAGAGCACGGTGAAGGAAGACGACACGCAGTGGCTCACCTACTGGGTGGTGTACGGACTCTTCAGCATAGTCGAGGCCTTCTCCGACATCTTCCTCTTCTGGTTCCCCTTTTACTACGCCGGCAAGGTACGTCTGTCTGTCCACGCTCGTGTGTGCACAGCAGCCTCTTGTGGACGGTGCGGGCACATCTCAAAACTTGATACAACGAAAGAAGATTCAAATGAGAAAAAGCAGTCGCCCACGGATCTTTTCTTCATATATGTGCCCAAAAAAATGAACCGCTCTATAGTAAGGCTCAAATAAAATGATGTGGTGTTTCTTAATGCTTCTTATTATGGCTCGGCAATGTTGAAAAATGATCGTTACGCTCGACGGCGTTACGAAAACGGCAATTTGCCTCGAGAATTGCCAATTTGGTGACGAACGGCGTCTCCCCCGCAGTGCGCCTTCCTCATCTGGTGCATGGCTCCCGTCACGTGGAACGGCTCCGACGTCCTGTACAAGCGCCTCATCCGGCCCTTCTTCCTGAAACACCAGGCCGCCATGGACGGCGTGGTGAGCGACCTGAGCGCCAAGGCCAAAAGCGTGTCGGAGAGCGTCACGCAGGAGGGTGAGATACCCACAGTCTACATGCAAGTACCAGCACATTTTATCTCGACGGCATGCCGATGCAGCGGCCGCCTTCTCGCCCGCATGCCCTCACCCGGCAAGCATCAGCTACTCACACGCCACATTCACGCTTCGCAATACGTGTAAGTAGGTGCGGATGTACTTCTGGGTGGGAGAGACTCAGACTGAGTCATTTGGCAAAATGGCTAGCGTGGTAGCTAACGTCAGCGCTGAAGCAGCTTTCCCGGCTGCGCCATTCATCTGAGACTGTCAAACTACGGCGGTAGAGAAGACGACATTCAAGACGTTCAGCATTCGCGACCACTTGCCGGTTTTCTCGGTCACCTTGCTTCGGTTTCATGGCGTGAAAGGAGTTTGTTTCATCAGCGGTGACGTTAGAGATTTTGCCACCCAGAAGTACAGGTTGTCCATGATACAGTGGTACGTCGGAGTTTGCGGTGCGGCAAGTCCAAAACCGCGCAGGCTTGTCGTTTCCTGTTACATGGCGGGTCCTCAGACTCCACTCGCACGCAATGGCAAAACTCTTAACGTTCGTTACGGTAGCTTGCCAGCTGTCTAATACTCT